ATATTTTGCGAAGATGATTGCTGACTTGTCGACTTCATTGCGAGGTGCGTTAGCTTTTGACTTCATTATTATTCCAATTTATATCATACGCTAGCGGCGAAGATAAGAAACAAGTATAATAGAAAAAAAAACAGGCCTACCATCCAAAGAGACTCCTCGAAAGTCTTCAAACATCTGAAGGGCGTCTTTCTTCCTCAAATACACGTCACCAGTACCGAGAGATACTCCCTGTTCATTGAAGTGAATCGCAGCACTTTCGATGTTGTATGGTGCGAAGAGTTCCTGAAATACAGCAGTCATGATGAGGGAAAGCACTTACGAGATTTGGGGAATATTCCTTCGATGCCCATCAGCCTTTACCATCACAGCGGATAAGGGAAGACGTCAGCCTGCCACAGAAATGCGCCTTGAACCGAAGTTCGCCATCACCGAGCAAGCTGGGACTGATATCCAAAAAGACACCGATGTTAAGCTGGCTAAGTATGAGCTTCGCTAGTCCGAGTGGAGCGTTGCGGATGGCCGTCGAAGGAACGGTCGAGGCACCTCTAGATCTGCTGAGACGACATTTGGTCCGAGATTGGACAGATTCACGCGCACTTTCTTATTAGGGTTGCTTGCACCAGGGCTCACTTTACCAATCGCTCCTCTCGCACGGAAAGCCCCAGTATCATCCTGGAACTTGTCGTGCTTCCACTTTCCTGCGGGAGTTCTCTGAAACATGGAATTAGACCATCTCAAAAATAGAGTAAAAGCTGCAGCCCAAGCCACCTCCGCCTCACATATTTTACTGAGTTTTAAAAAGAAAATCCACTTTCTAGGCTTAAAAAATCACGAAAGCAGGATTATGGGGAAACTTGTAATTGCAAAGACTATGCTCGAAGCGATTTTCCATTCGAAAGAAGCGGTGGCATATTAAAAGAAGAGATTAGTTCAAGTTGACGAAGTCTGGCAGTTTAATTCATTACTTGCCGAAAATCTTCTACTTCATCAAGGGAGCTAATTACATGCTGATCATGGATGTGTATTGCATTGATTATAATGCTGCGGTAGGTACTATCTGCATTAAACGTAATTTGGAAGCTCTTTTGAACAACTATAACTCATTTTCGGATTACAATAACATTATGAAAAGTCCCATTCGACATTTTTCCACTTCCAGTCAAAAAAAAAAGTCTTTTCAGTATACCAGATATCAAACAGCACAAAAATGGGTT